ATAATATATATTCTCAGAGAAACGTGACACATGTTGACAGAACAACACTCGTTGATTCTACAACCATATAGATGTAAAGCAACTGAGCACTGAAAGGGTCTCTGTAAAGAACGAGTACCAGTATTCACACAAAATTAATTTTGTGTTTTCTTTCCTCCTTGTTTTAGGAAGGGGGGGGTGATTTTTCTGAAGCACTCTTAGTGTTGTTTTTGTTGAGTATTGGAGAAGGTGAGGAGGTGATGTTATCCACGGGGATAAATGTATCACTTGACTTACACTTCCTTCGCGGGATTTTTGTGTTCGATCCTTGCCCAAGTCCGCGGCAGACAGTCTCTGAAATGGAGGCCTCATAGCCGCCTCCCATCTCCCCCGGCTCTGGTGCGCCCCTGGAGCGCGCCGTGAGTCGCCGTACGGCGGACTACTGCCTCCTCCTCCTTGCTCTTGCTCCGGGGAACGCCTGCGGCAGGGCGGGTAGGCCAGCCCGTCGAGCGCCCGCGTGCGGCTCGGTGGCCTACTCAGCGCCTGCAGTCCCACTTGTGTTTAGCGCAGTTGAGCGAACAAATGTGCGCATCGCAGGATTGCGATACTTTGAAATTCTCTGAACGCGAGGATCGAGGGAAATCACGATGGTTTGGTGGGTTCGTGGGTTTGAGTAGCTGGGAAGTGAGGTCAGACGTCGCTGTCCATTGCACTAGGCAGGGGCGATCTTTGCTGCTCCGCATAGGACTCTCTCTTATTTACCAACCAGACCAACCCTATCCGCTTCTATCTCTGCCTCTCTGTGTCGCTCTGTCTCTCTCTCTGTCCCCCCTTCTTCCGCTCTCCCTCCCACGCCCAGGTCGTTGCTCTGCGTGATATAAGCAGCATTCTGGAGCCGCTACGTGCATCACAGGCGGCAGCGGCGGCGGTACCAAACGGCGCGGCGCGGGGCGGGGCGGGCGGAGCTGGTGCTTTCTCCCCGGCCGGTCGCGACCTGGTCGTTGACCGCCCTCCCCTTCCCCTTCCCTTCCCCCTCTCTCTACCCCCCTACCCGCCGCTCTCCCACTTCAATTCACAGCTCCCTTCCTACCTGCCGCCCACGCGCTTTCCTCTATTTCCTCATCTATGCCCGCTACGCCACCGCCGCCACCACAGTGTGGTCACAGTGTGGTCACACTCCGCACCTTTCGTCCGACCGCCCCGCGCTGCACGCTGCACAAGGGTGTCATGATGACCTGCGGCGGCTGCGTGGCTACCAGAGTGCCGCCCTGGCAGGCACCTTTGCGTTGGGAAAATCGCTACAGAGCTGGAAAAACAAAGGTGGTAATTAGCACCTTAAAAAGGTGTTACGGGTTTAATCTTTCCCCACCTTTTCGCGGCCCTTTAGTGTCTTCCCAAAATTTATGCAGCACCCCTCCTCCAAAGGTGTGACAGCACCTTTGTTTTGCCGTTTTCCCAGTGAATGCACCCTTATACTCGCTGGTTTGTTTTGTTGAGGCATTTTCGCGAAACTGCTCGAAATCGATTTTTGGCATTGTATTGCAACAGTAGTATCAGAAAGTATTGCCCTCACCTCTATAGCTTGAGACACCCCCGCCGAGACTACTCTGTCCCGGGGGGTCGCCCACGCTGCCGGCCCGTCGTCGTCTTACAGAAATAGAAGGCGATGTGGTTGCCTCAGGCCGCCCAGGCAGGCCACCGCCCGATCACCGTCATCGGGACAGACAGTGTGCGAGCGAGACAGGAGCTGCGGGGGAGACACTGAGAGCAACGAGGATCGGAGGGAGACACTGAGACCAACAAGGATCGCCCCGCGCTCATGTCGAAGCCGATGCTGCCCCCGATGCCGTTCCTGATTGATACTTGACATTTTGGTGCGCTTTGCTCATGACGTGACGTGGATGGCGCAGTCCGTGTGTCCACACTGTGGTCACAGTCGTGTGGCCCCGGCCGCATAGAGGCGCATAGCGGATCCTCCTGGCCGTGAAGATCCCTCTAATGACGATCATCATTTCTTTTCTTCCTTTTTTTTTCGGCGCGCCGCCATAATGATTGATGGTTGGGATCCTCGCGCCGCCCTGGAACAGGTTTTCGTTTCTTTCGCCTTCACGCGCGTTTTGTATCGAAGAATGAGTCTCAAAACGTGCAACCCGAACGGGTTGTGTCAGAAAGCGACAAAGCGCCCCGTGAGCGCGCGGGAGGAGAGGGGGGGGGGGGGCAGCGCGCAGCCCGGCAAAGGACTCACTTGTGTTCGTTTCGTAAATGTTCCACGTTTCAACACGGAGTTTTATCGGCGGCGGCAGCGTGGCGCGCGGGCCGCGCCCCGGCGGCTGCATGCCGTGTCGTATTGGCGCTGGGCTGGACGACGCTCGGCCGGGCGGTGCACTTGTCGCTGGGCCGGGGGGAGAACGTTTGCACTACTCGTCAGCCTCTCGAGACGAGGATCCTCGTCGTGAGCTTCGTCGCCGGTGTCGCTCGCGTTCGATCAGGCTACCCCGGGCTACCCTCTCTACCCAGAGACTTTGACTTACCTTCCAGAGGTGGTGGTGCCGATGGCCCCCGCCCGTGTGGACAGCCCAGTGGCTGGCGGCGTGGCGTCCCACTGGGACGGGCCGGGCCGACCGATAAGGGCCGTAATCAGCTCTGGGACCCACACACATTTCACAACGCGCGTGCCGCCGTGTGCCCACTGGCTCCATCACCAACTACCACACCAAGACACACCCACCACCTCCGCCCCAAAAAATAAAATGATAATGATTACAGTCTAACAATAGATGGGGGAAGGGGAGACTTTGAGATTTCATAGGCCCCAAAATGTATAATAATAAATACGCCAGTCAGCTGCGAAACTTTTGATTACGTGAGAGTGATCGGCTTGAACAACAGTAAATATTTGCATCTAGCATGATTTGAACCTCGCGGGTCGATGTGCCTGCCTCAGGGCCGGTCCCAACGAGCAGACAGGCATTTAATTAAGGCGCCCGCCGCAATCGCGCGGAGCAACACCACCGGGCTGTCTGCGGGGCTCCCCCCCCTCTCCCCCCCTTTCCCCACCGCGACTGGGGCTGGACCCGCGACGGAGCAATATCGAAAAGGCTTGCACCCGCCCGCCCGCACGCCCGCCCGCCGGGCCTCGCCCCGCCACACTCCGCCCCGCCCCGCCCCGCGTGCGTTGGCGAGAGGTTGTGTCAGGGCGCTGGTGCAATGAGCCTGCCCGCCTGCCCGGCCCGGCTTGTGGCCCGGCCCTGGTCGGGAGGTCGGCTGTGTGCCCAGGCAGACCCCTGGTGTTGGTGTGGTGCCTTACTTATACATTATATCTCGACCCGCACACGCGATTGTTTCGGCTTTTCGGGACCAAAGCTGTTTTTCAATATTTCCTCTCCATCTCCACCTTTGACTTGCCGGTGTCTGATAGTATCCCGCGTTGCCTGGTTTTATTCTTTTCAAAGAAAATGTAGCCGCGCCCCCTCAAATATGCCTTCAAAGTTTGAACCTTGGCGCTTTATTGCTCCACGCTTGCTGTGTATTAGAAATAAATGGGAAGAAAGA